GAGTAGGAGCCAGTCTGCACAGGGACAGAGATGCTTCTGGTTCGTGCTGGAGGTCCTGCATCCCGGGCTAGGACAGTGCCAGCCTGCAGGTTTCAGTCTCTTTATTAAGAAAAAGGCATATTACAACAACTTCTAAAGTACAGCTCCATACTCTAGTCTCTGGGTGTTAACACATTCTGAAAAGCACTTGGTTAAAAAGCAAGGTCGACAAGAACATCATCCTGGCAAAAAAAAGGTGACATGTAGCAAAACGAACATTCAAATAGAGCAGAGCAGTGTCAGGCCTTTGGCATGTGTCCCTCTGCCTCCCCAGCACGAGGCACAGGCATTTATTGTTCTCACTGAGCTTCACAAACTCAGCCAAGGACAATATTTTTTTGCTCCACCGAGAGCACAGCTGCTCTGGGACCAGGGGAGCCGAGAGCAGAGGCGCTGCCCTCCTCGTCCCTCCGAGCCCTCGCAGGGGTCCCGGCGCAGCTCTGTCCCCACCCCACTGGGGTGACAGTGACCTTGAGACATACAGACAGGGCTCGTCCTTGCGGGGCTGAGGGGGCTGCAGCGCTGTACCCACAGCCCCTGGGCACAAAGGGTCTGCTGCTTCAGACATGCAGGATTTGGGCATTCCCAGGGCCTGATAGTCTAATTCCTGCAATAATTGCAACAACAGGAAAGGGGAGCTTTCTTGGAAGCTGCAAGATGACTGAAATCTATCGGGAAGAGCCAGGAGGCACAACCACACCCTGGCCAGGGAGGACCAGGCACCGCTTGGGTGTGGGTTGGGTGCACTCTCACACAGCAGCAGCTTCCCCCCCTGCTCCTGCCCCAGGTGCCAGGAGGGGGAGGCTGAGATGAAGGGATGGGTGTGGTGGCAGTGCCAGTGTCACCCTGGTCCTGCCCAGAGGCACCATCCCGCCATGGGGTGGGACAGCAGTGTCCCTGCAGGGCCAGAGCCGGCAAGGAGGGCACAGAGGCAGACATGGGGCCCTGGGGAGCAAAGGGCAGCTCTGAGGTGAGGGGACACGGCGCTTTGATCCTTGTGCTTTAACTGGCCGTGGTGTCTGGTGGCTCCTCCAGGGCTGCTGTGCTCATCGATCCCGAGCTCCTGCTCGCCCAGCCGGCACTGCTGATCTTATCCACAGATCTCAGGTGCCTGCCTGAGGCAGCCCAGAGGCGTAAGGGAGTTCTCCCCCGTCCTGCTGGCAGCCAGGCGCCGGCAGTGCAGGAGGGTGACAAGAACGGGCGTGCAGCGAGCGCTGCGGCGTCACTGCAGCCAGGCTGGCTCATCAGGGCTGCCGTGTTCCAGGAAAGGCAGGCTGGCGTGGCTCCACCGGGGCAGCAGGAGCCAGCTCGCAAGGCTGTGCACAAGGACTCCCAAAGGTTCACCTAACCCCCAATGAGGAAAGTCCCTTGTGGTGCTGCTGATCACCTTCCGAGTGTGGAGAGCCCGGGGAGAACTTGGGAGAAGCAGAGCAATCCCTTTGCACTGCTGGCTCCAGCCACTGCAGGCAGGGTGTTTCTTGCTGTGCCACTGCCACCTCTCCTGGGCAGCCAGGAAAGAGCCCCCCTCAGTGCCTCCACAGCACCCACCAGCTGGGCCACAAAGCTGGCTTGGCCTGCCATACGGCGATTCACAGAGGGCTTCCTTTCCTGGCCTGGCCCAGCTCAGTGTCTGCACAGAGCCACGCACAGGGGGAAGGCTGGGAGCCTAGTGGGGATGGGAAGGACACGGCTGGGAGTGCTTGGGTTAGCCCCAGCAAACACATTCAGAAAATATGGCTTTTTAGTTAACAGGGTCAAGAGGCAGATCTTCCTGACTAATCTGCCAGGGTTAAATAAGTCCAGGGGAGCATGCATCCCATTGCCAGGACTGGCTCTGCCACAGCGAGTGCAGCGGGGGCATCTTCCCCCATCCACTGCTCACCTCACACCTGCTGCAAGGTGCATTTGAGACATCAGATAGCACTAGGAAAAATAACGATGATAATAATAATAATATAATAATAATGAGGAAAATGTGGCTCACACACACAAGACGTTGTTTAACAACGAGCGTTATTGCTATGCTTCCATTTCCAGTCTAATCATTAAGCTTTACAAGCCAACGCCAAACAGTGCCCGTTCCCCCGCTGTGGGCGGCTGTGCTCCTCACTCTGTGCTCTCACAGAGCAGGTCGGAGCTGTGTGTGCCCTTTGGACCCCTGAGGAGTGCAGAGCACAGACTAAACGCACCTACAGATCCCTGTCACACCTTACAGGCTAAGGGCGAGCTTACAGTGCGAGGGGGAATCCACGAGAGCCCCCACTCCAGGAGGGGAGGGCAGGCCCTGCCTGGGCCCCCGTGGCTCTCAGGCTCACGGCGGCTCCAGCAGCCTGCTCAGTAAAAAATAGGAATACTGTCTTTTTGATTTTTTTTATCATTTTGATCTCTTTGATCATTTTATATAAATACAAAGATTAAAATAATTTATCTCAACATTATTTCTATTACAATCATACAGTGTTTTCCCTTCAAAACAAGTGCATGTATGTGTGTATATATATATATAAGTGTATATATAGTATCTCTAGAGCTTCCCTCCCCCTAAGAAAAGCAGCAGTGACTGAAGCAGGTACAGCACGCAAGAGCTGATCCTTCCTGCTCCAAGGCAAATGTGCCCAAGGAAAAGTGCAGGGCTCACCCTGACAACTCATCTCCAAGCACGCTCACTGGCATGGAGGGGTTACTGGGGTGCTGGCTTCCATCCCTTTGGGAACCCCCTCGCTGCCGGCGGCTCTGCCTGCCCGCCCCTGGGGAGGGACCGGCATGGGGGACTGGAGCGACATCAGCTCCTTGGGCAAGCTGCTAATCACTGTGGAGAGGAAAGGGCCCTGCAGCTCAGACAGGGTTGCTTAATTTACATACTAGGCACTACGGATGATGATTGCTAGGAAGGTATTTACACAGGAGAAGGATCATACTTCTCCGAACTCCACTTCTCAATGCTCAGTCATGAACACCGTGATCTCATGAAGAAGTTTGTAATCAAGATGCAACATACTGTGTCTATCAGGATTGTCTAGGAAGGACGGGGAGCAGCTGTGCGCACCGCAGCTGCAGCAGCAGCCGAGCACACGGGGACAGGCATCGCCTCTCTCACCCTACAAGAGAGACAAATCCGCAGCAGGACCTCTCAGAACCGGAGAGAAACAGCAATTTCCAGAGGCCAGTAGCACCTCAGGGGCACAACCTCCCAGAACTGTGCCGCTGGGGCCCTGGGGCTGCTCCCCTCACAAAGGTCCCCTCCGTGTCCCCGAGGGTGGGTGACAGCAGGGCCCCAGCACCCCCAGGTCCCCCAGAGCTGGGCCTGGCACAGGGAAACAGGCGGGAAGCATTCTGCAGCCGTGCCGGGGAGCCCAGGGCTTTTGTCCCTCGTGTTCCCGTGCTCAGAGCCCCCCGTGCTGCCCTGCACCTGCCGAGCCTGTGTGGGCACCCTGGGCACGGGGAGCTCTGCATCCACGGCCCGTGGGCGCCCTGCAGCCTCCCCTGGCTGTGCCATCTGAGGGCTGGGGGCTCCTGGGCTCTGCACGGCCCAGGCAGCAGCTCCAGACACCTCGGGGGCTGCAGACACTGCCCACGAGAGCTTTCATGCCCCCGGAGCTGCACACCTCGGCCTGGCTCTGCCCAGCGTGGCTGTGCTGGGCTCTTCCCAAACCCAGGGCTGTGTTAGGGACCATGGGAGCAGCTGGGCAGTCCCAGCCCTCAGGGCTGCCCTGGGAGAGCACGAGAGGTCGTGTCCTCCAAAGCCTGGCTAGTCACATAACAGCCAAAGAAAAAGTGCAAAAGCCGCTAATTTCTGCCCTGCTAGTGCAGCTCATACACTTTGGGGTTTGTTTTTACCAAAGAGCTGGTTGGCGACTGCTGCTGTCAATCTCATAAAGCATTTTAATAGAGTATATAAATATTGAACTACAAAAATAGACAGCTCTGACTGCACGGGCACACTGAGGGTGAGTGCGGGCAGGCCAAGCCTCGCTAGTCTATGAGGGTGATGTCTTTCAAGAGGTTTCAGACTGAATTGGAAGGAAGTAGGGTCTGATGCCACCCTGCAGCTCCCTGCTGCCCACAGCAGCCCAGGAGGGCCCTGCGGAGGCTGCTGCTCACGGGGCTGGCAGGCGCTGGCTGCAGGCTGGCAGCCCACACGCCAGGGTGAAACCTGCCCCTTGAGCTGCCCCAGCAGCACCGAGCACAGCGACCTCTGCCCTGCCTGGCTGCCAGAGCCCTCCCCTGCTAATGGTGTTTCACAACGGCCAGGGAGCGATTGTAAAGCTGACGGTTTGGCTGGAAATGGGGCAAGGAGGCGGCTGTGTGTGGCCGTGTGCTGAGAGGGACGGCAGGCAATGGGGGAGGACCGGGGCGCTGCTCTGCCTCAGCAGCAAGCCCAGACCTGGCTGTGGATGTGACTGAGAACCACAGTGCTGGTGCCGAGGAGAGCCCTGCCGGGGGCACAGGCTGCAGCGCTGCTCCAGCAGCACACGGAGCCCGGCTGCAGCGGCCCAGCAGGACTGCCGGGCCCTGCCTGTCCAGCTGCCTCGCCCGAGCCCTGCGTGAGGGGAAATCCGTGCTGGAGCCAGCCACACCGCGGCACGGGGAGCGCGGGACAGGCCAGGCCAGCACAGCAGCGCTGTCCCGGGGAAGGGGATCCCTCCAACACCCGCAGGACCGAGCTCGTCCAGCTGCCCGCGTTCTGAGAGCCTTGCAGGTGGTGTGCCCGCGATGCCAGGGCTGAGGCCGGGCTGGCTGACCCCGCGGGCCGAGCCGTGTGCTGCTGTGCCCAGGGAAAGCAGCCTGGTGCCCACTCCGAGGACAGCCGCAGCAGGAAAATCTCATTTTAAAATGCTTCCTCTTCTTTCTTGCTTTGTTTTTAACTCGCAAGCAGGGCACAGGCGCTCGGACGTGTCCCCCTCACAGCCCGGGTGCTGGAAGCGGCCCTGTCCCGCAGCACTGCCGGCAGCATCCCTGGCTCACACCTCTCGGGCCGGTGGGTGGGAGGCGCGGGCAGGGCTCCGCTCTCGGCCGCCCCTCCGCTCCACCGAGGGGACGGGGAAGGAGCCCCCGGTGCCGCGGGGCTCCGGCCGCTCGGCGCCCTCGCCGCCTACTCCTGTGCGCGGGGGGCACCGCGGGCACCGTGGGCACCGGAGCCCTGCCTCTTGCCGGGCTCGCCCTTGGCCGGCCTGGCCCTGCCCGCGGGCTCGGGCGGGCTGCTCGGGGCTCGGCCGCTCGCCCGCCCGGGGGCCCGGCAGCCGCTGCGCCGTGGCGTGCAGCTGCAGCGAGAGGTAGGCGGCCGCCTCCGTCTGCTTCTGCAGCTCGGTGTCGAGGATGGTGACGCGGTGGCTCCGCCGCTTCAGCTCCTCCAGGAACCGGCGCTCCTTGCTGCGGAGGCTGGAGCGCAGCGCGGCCACCAGCGTCTCCTTGTGCTGCAGCTCCTTGCGCAGCTCCAGGTTGTCCTTCTCCTTCTCCTGCAGCTGCGCCTCCATCGCCCGGCACTTCTCCTCCAGCTCGCGGTCCAGGACGTCTGTGGGTCAAGGCACAGAGGGGTCAGGATGGGAGCACTGCTCCTGGCCGGACGTGGCTGCTGGCCACTCCACGGTGCCAGTAGGGCCAGCGTGCCATTGAGGCTGCTTGGGTGCTTCTGGAAGCCGGGAAAAAGCCCCCTGTGAGCTGCCCGAGCACAGGGACAGGAGCCCCAGCTCCAGCCCCTGGTGCCACGTGTAACACCCAATGAGGGGTGACAGCAAAAGGCAGCTTCAGTGGAGAATGCTGTTGCCATGGAACCTGCTGCCTCTACCTTGCTGCAGTTTTAAAATTTCCCTAGGTAAGTTGTTTTTCACCCTAAAAGTGACTTTGAATGTGTGCAGAGGATGTGGGGGAGTACACAGGCTGGAAGAGAAAAGGGAATGGTGCAGGGAAACCATCAGCGCAACTTTGGAGGGACTTCTGACCTCAAGCCCTGGGACTCCAAAGCCTTGTTAGTCAGGATGGAGATGCTAATCCAAGACTACAGAGAAATTGGGCTGTGCTCAGCAGGGCAGGAGCCTCTATCCTGGGACAAGGGAGCGAGTTCTGGGGAATGCTGTCCTGGGGCAGGATGGCCAGGCAGCTTGGGGAATTCACAGCTTGGGTTCTGGGGCCAAGCCCAGTGGGCAGCAGGAGGGCTGAGGACTCCTGACCCCAGCCCTGGCTGCCTGCTCCAGCACCCAGCCCTTGCCAGGGTGCAGGCTGGCACCTGCCCGCGCTCCCTGGCCTGCCCAGGCCTGCTCCCATCCTCTGCAATAATCTGCTTTTTATTGGGTGATTGGCAGCCACTTACAGCCTCAGCTCCTTAGTGTTTCTGCAGCTTTGTAATGAGGTCTTAGGGAGGCAGTTGCAGGCAGTAATTATTGCATGAACGGCACTAGAAGAGCAATCATTTGATGGCATCGTAAACGAGGTGCTGCCCCATAAATGTGGCAAAGTGATTGTGCAGCTCTGAAAGGCTGAAGGATGGGCAGGCACCATGGGTGGCACTCGCTGCATTGAGGCTGGTGGCACCCCATGGCACCCGGTGGGCTGGGCACCAGGCCCTCGGGTGCACAGCAGGGACCCCTGGCTCTGAGGGAGGGGCTGGCAGTTTGGAATTGCCATGGAGCCAGCCCTGGCACTGCGTGAGGGTGCCGAGGGCAGGACCCTGCTGGCCCCAGTGAGAGCAGCTGCACCCGCCCTGGCACTGAGGGCAGAGCACAGGCTGGGGCTCGGTGCCAGGGGCCGTGCCCGGGCAGCGCCAGGGAGGAGCTCCAGTTTCATCTGTGGGCAGAGGCAGGAGGGGAGCCAGGCTGCTCACACAGCAGCCTCTGCCGGGCGTCAGCAGCAGTGCTGCTGCCAGCAGGCTGTGCCCTGCCAGGCCTGCCCAGCCCCACTGCCCCTCAGGCCGGGTCCCTGTGCCTCCCTGCAGGGCCCCTCTGCCCCCTCACCTGCTCCCCCTCGCCTTGTGCCCAAAGCTGTGCTCTTACCTTGTTGGCGGGCCTCCAGCTCTTTCATTTCCAGGTCATGGGTGAGCTCTGGAAGAGAAATCCAACAGGACTGAGGAGGAGCATGCCACCCATTCTGTGCTCCCTTTGGGGCACTGGATGTCACTGGGGCTGCAGTGCTATCTCTGCCCAGCCTTCTTGGGAGTGTGGCCAAGGCTGAGCTAAAAATAGGCAATTCTGGCAATTTAAATGTTATTAAGCAGCCTCATGGCCGAGACATTGTCCACAGGATGGTTTGCTCCTCTGACAATGCCTTTTCTTTTTCTGAAAGAGTTGCTGAACCATTTTCAGTGCTGTAAACCAGGACAAAGAGCAGAGCAAGGGATTGAAAATAGACCAAAGTGTAAGCTGCCACCCAAAGCATTTCATAATTTACTGCTCCAGGCTGATTGCTGCCCCTGCACATGCCGTGAGCAGGGACAGCCTCGTCCCAGCACGGTGTGCCTGCAGAAGGATGCTGCCCTGCTCCAGGGCAACGTGGAGCTTCCAAATCCCTTCCAAATCTCAGGAGCTGCAGCACCCACCTGCCTGCTCAGCCCCAGAATGCTGCCTCCTCTCTGCTGCCCTTTGCCTGCTCGCTGTCTAGCCCCAGGCTGCAGCACCAGGTCACAAAGGGACCTTCTGGAGTTCACTTCACCCTGCACTCTAACAGACAGCCCCTTTTGAATTAATTATCACATCCCACCCAACCACTAACAGCCCTGAGCAGAGGAAGAGAGTGGTAGCAGCAGCATTCAGCTGTTTGGGGGCTATTTTTCCCCTGAAAATGAGTTCAAATGGTTAATCTTTGCCCTACATTTTTCTTTTAATCTGCTTTTGTGTTGACTCTAATCCTCATCACTGCCATCCTTCTGAACCCAAACGCTTGTCTGAGGCTGCTCTGCCTGTCTGTCTTGGAAAACAAATCTGTAGTGAGGAGGCAGAAGTACCTGAGACCGTAATGCAGTTTCTGGAAAGCGTTCAGCACTCTCACTGCCCCGGTGGGAATCAATGGCCATTGTGCTATTTTTTCTGAAGCTAAAATAATAGGTTTGGAGTCTCAGATATATTTCAAATGAAAACCAAAGCAGCTGCCTGTTTCCTAAGACATCATCCTGCTGATCAAGTGCGGGGATGATGCACAGCCCAGGGTCCCAGTTTCTGGTGCTGATCTGCTTCAGCACCATCCCCGTGACCCCGGAGGGGCAGCTGAGAGCCACCTCTGTGGGAGGGAGAGCCTTTCCCACAGGGATACCTCAGAGAGACAAGGGGATAGTGAGAAAGTCAGAAACAACAGTGCCAGGGCAGCAGGCAAGGCTCTACCGGGCCACATTGAGGAAAAACTGACTTAGACACTCTACTCTAAGTCAGTAACAAACAGCCCCCAGATAATGACACTCAAATGTCAGGAATGTCTCCTTAAAACTGCCAAGGGGTTGCCTGGCACTCCTGGCAGAAGCACACACCTCACCCAGGAGGACAGGACCCCTCTGGTCAGATATGGCTGGCCTTGGGTCACACTGGGAAGGGGAGATCACCCGTGCAGTGGGCTCATTTCAGCCCGTGGGGACAGATCCCCCAAGTTTGATTTAGGCAGCAGAACCTCACTGTCTTGCCTGCCTGAAGAGGCCATAGATTAAACCATTAAAACAATGAAACAGAACAGCAGGAGCTCAGAAAGGATGGGGGAAAAGAGCTAATTTTATCAGTGCAGACATTTCTTTGTTTCCCAGGAACCCGGGAGAATGAGAGGCTGGAAGACAAGGAGTAATTAGCTATGGCTGAATTATTGATGAGAGCAGCAGCACAAGTTGGAATGAGTTCCAGTGGTGGCAGAAGGCTGGGCAGCCATCCCTGCTGCAGGGGTGGCTGCAGGGGAGTGTGACACTGCTGCAGCGGGGCTGTGGGCAGCTGTGCACCCTGCAGCACAGCCAGGCAGGGCCCTGAGCCTCGTGCTGCAGCCTGCACTCGCCTCCTCTGCGTCCTGCCCAGCACCTGTGTGAGCTGCCCGGGCTGCCAGCAGGAGCCTTCCTGCCCGAGGAGCCCTGTGAGCACTCAGCTCCCACACACCGTGGCCACCCCAGCTCACCTGAGCAGTGCTTCTGCAGGCGGAGGATCTCCAGGTGCAGGTCATGGAGCAGCTCCATCTGCTCCTTCTTCAGGAAAGCGATGTGCCGCTGCACGCTCTGGATCTGGTGCTCCAGGGACACGGTCTCCATCGCAACCAAATTCACAGTCCAGGCCTGCAGGGAGGGGAGATGGCTCTGATCAAACGTGCAGCAGTGCGCTGCGCTCGCGAGCCCCGGCCCCGGAGCCCTTGTGAGGGCAGAGCCCGGCACTGAGGTGCAGGGTGGTGCCTTCTCTCCTCACTCTCTCCACGGGGACTGTGGCTGTGGGCAAAGCAGCCCTGCTCAGCTGATGCCCTCAGCATGGGAATGGCCTCAGCCCTCTCACCTTCCAGCGCCTCTGGGGCCAGCTCCTGTCCTGCCTGCTCTGAGACTGCACAGGCAGAAAATCCTGCTGCATGAACCCTGGCATCACAGCATGCATGTCTGTTCTGAATTTGGCCCTAGGAAATGCTTTATCGTTGAGTAGGATGCATCTGGGACAGGATTGCTCCTCGTTGTCCCCAGGTGGGAGTTGCACCAGAGACGATTTTGGCTCTCACTTGACAAGCCCCACATTACACAGCAGCAACTGCAGCGAGCGATCCAGCACATGAAAAATACAATATGCTCTGTCTAACCCGATCAGCACTGCACGGCTAGGAGAGTCACGTTGTCTTCCAGGAGAAGGAACATCTTCCCTGGTAATTTTCCTGGCAGACAGGAGCTGCTGGCAGGCTGTGCCAGGCAGCCGAGCCAGGCTGGGGGTCTGTCCCCACGGCATCAGTGGCTGTGGCAGAGCAGCTGCAAAAGCCACCCACCCACCTGTGCTGCTGCACAGAGAGATAAAAATAGCCCCTGAAAGAGCCCTTTTCCCAAGAAATACCATTTTGTGGTGTGTGCAATCTGTCCTTGCTCCCTGCACACAGCCCAGGAGGAGGGAAGGTGCAGCAAATCAAGGTAACCTGGCAGAGTGGCTGGACTCAATGACCTCAGAGGTTTTTCCAACCTACGGGGAGATGCTGTGCCACAAGCCTCAGGGATGGAGTGCATCATCCTGTCCCTGGGCAGCTGCTTCCCACATCTGACTCCAGTTTTCTCTCTACAGAACTGCAGAACCAAGCGAGCACTGTGGCTCACTGTTCCAGCACCCCTGGCATGGTCACATAGGGCATTTTGCAATTCCTGCACCCAGAATGCATTTAAGATCAATCCCTCAGTAAGAGGTCCTGGCAGTGCCCCAAGGTCAAAGCTTTGTTCCTGCCAAAGGCTCTGTAGATTTGTGACAACTCTACAGTCAGGTCTCCACGTTCCTGTATTTGATGAGGTGGGGGGTGCAGGCTGGCTGGGGACAGCTGAGCACCCAGCCTGCTGGTAAACGATCCAAAGTGCATTGTCCTGTAGTCGTCCTTAGGGAAGGTGTCAAAGCCAGCAAAGCCAGGGGGCTGGGGCTGCCTGGGCCATCCTCCTTGGGGGGCCATATGTCCTGATGCCAGTGCAACAGTTATGGGAGTTACCTGGCATCTGCCAGAGACCAGGAATGCAAACCACACCATGGGTACATCCTCCTGCCAGCCCTGGCCGTGGTGGGCTGAGCTTCTTGATGGGAGTTGTGCTCCTCATCTCAGGAAACATCAGAAAATAGGTTGGCCAAAGCCCAGGGGACACACACTGCTATTTTCAAGCACTTTGTTCTGTCTAGTAGAAATGTCTTTAGTAGAAATGGCTGCAAATTTTCCATTGAACTTTTCCTTCTCCCATTAAGTAGGAAATTTCTTTTAACCCATGAAAATATTTGGCTTTAAAAGTAGTTGATAGATTTCAAGCTGCAAAAAAAGGTCAAAGAAAAAAATCTGGAATTGAGATCTGTTTGTTGTCTCTGATTTGGAAGAAAAGAGCCTTCATAATTTACCTGTGTGTGCAGAAAGAGAAGTCTGTCTCCAGAGTTGCAATGGGAAATCCTTAGTGGGTTTGAATCAGCTTTGCCTGACCAACATGACTTTCATGTTTTCTCTTGAGAAGCAGCTCTCAGCTTGTGGCAGGAACACCTGAAGCCCCACACGAGGGAGCGAGCACCTTGTTTTGTTTAGCCACCAACCTCCCACCAGTACTAAGGGCATGGAGCAAGGCAGGGGTGGGACACAGAGGCAAGCAGGGCGGGAGCTGCCTTCGCTGGAAGTGAGCACAATGCTGGAAACAGTCGTGCTGTTGCCCAAGAGCAGTGAGGGGAAGAGCTCTCCAGGGATTCCAGGGACGCGAGGCTGCTTCTGTTCACCACCTGCAGCCCCGTGGGAGGGACATGTTGTCCCCTCTGCAGGTCACACAGCTCTGCCTCACAGCTGATGATGCAAGAGCCAGATCTGTCAAGGAAGATGCAATCTCATCCTGAGGCTTCAGTAACATCAGTGTTGGAGTGTCCCTAACTTTACCAGAGGGCAGCAGATGAGCGTTTGCGTCACCGAGGCAGTGTCCACCTTTTACCCCAAAGGAGTTCAGAACCAAACTCTCGACAGCTGGTGTCCTCTCTCCAGTGCTTCTGAAGGCAAGTGGGATTGCAGCAGCCTCCTGAGCCTTTGTTTTGATGTGTGCCTTCTGTCATTGCACACAGTTCGATCCTGGGCGGTGCTGGGAGTTAATAAGGATTAGCTGCTGCTGCTGCTGCTGGCTGATTTAACACTTGCAGGGTGACCGCAGCTCCCAGCTGGTAACACCAAAACTCCCTGTGCCCAGGGCTTCAGAACACCCACAGTGGTCATGACCAGAGGCCTGCGCAGTGAACCATGGCAGGAACTTTCAGCCTTGCCACAGACACGAGAGCCAAAGCATGGTGAGTGGGGCTGTCCTTCCCACCGGCTCCTCCTGCCCCAGCTGGTGACCGTGGCTCCCAAAAGGAAGGCTGTACTGCAGTGAATAGGGACACGGTTGGGTGCCCCCACTCTGATCCCTCCCTTGCTGCTGGAGCCATCACTTCTCCTTTCCAGACTGGTTCTAAGATGCCAGGACAACTGGTGGTGGAAGCTCTCACAGGGACCGTGTACTCTGTGATTGTGACGAGCTACGTATGAGGTTACAACCCTAGAAAACAATGCCATTCGTAATAAAAGCCAAGAGTAAGTGACAGTAGTCCTCTTTAGCTTGAAGGATGCTCTGTGCCTTTGTGCTTCTGAGGGCTGTACATGTGCACACACAGCAGCAAAGGAGGCAGAGCCAGCTGAGCAGTGTGGTTTGCCCCAGTTCAAAGGTGACACCTGCAGCCTGAGCTGGCCCCTGCTCCGTGCAGAGCTCTGGCTGAACAGATCTCTCCAGTTTGGGGAATGAACATCCACAGGGCTTTGCTCCACCTCCAAGAGCTTTCCAGGAACGAGGTTCCCTTGCAGATCCCCCAAGATTTTGAGCACAGAACTGAGGAGATGGCACTGGGCTCAGCCCCCTCCAGTTCCCCACGTGGAGTGACCGTGGGCATGGTCTCAGCTGCTGAGCCTTCCTGGGCACCTGCTCTAAACCATGGCTTCTTCCACACCTCTTGTGCTTTCACTATGCAACCATGACCTTTGTCACAAGCATATTGGGAGTCCTGATCTCTGCTGCTTCTTTCAAAGCGCTGGTGGAAAACCCCAGTGAGATTTACAATTTCATCCCAATTTATCAAATTCTTATTTCACAAACCAGAATGACTGAAGCAGCCTCTTGGAGCAGCTACAATGACCAATTCAGTTGCAAGCCTACCAGGAGCTGATTTCCTTTGCACAGACGGGTTGATTGAGAGTTTGCTTCCAGGGCAAAACTCTGCTTAAGTCTGCCGTTCAATGTAAACCAGAATCCCAAAACTTTGACCCAAGAAAAGCCCTCCATCCCAATGATGCATCTGAAAGGGAGAGGCAGTACTGCATATCCACGTACCTCTGTACACATGCCATCACACCATAGTCTGGCCCTTTTCTGTGATTATTATCCTCCACAAATGCAAATTAGCTGGGAGTCAGGGGGCATGAGGTTTGCAGGAGCAGGTCGATACTTTGTCCTGCTGTGGCTGCCAGCAACCCCTGCTCCATCACATTGAAACATACGCGGGAATAAACACTGATACACACTAGAAATCCACAGTCCTTGGTATTTACAGCTCAAAGAATATAAACTGCAGCCGTGCCACTAAGCTAGTGTGTCTTTAAATGTAGGGAAATCAGGCAAGCAGGAAGCTCAGAAACTTGCAGAAGGTCACAGAGGCAGTGGCGATGCCAGGAATAGAAACCAGAGGTGAAATCCCGGCCTTGGAAAAGTCAGTGGGAAACCATCCCTGATCTCAGCAGAGGCAGAATTACACTCGGAGTGCTGTTTGCTATTCATTATCTGTCAGTATCTATTTACAGATAAAATCAATACAGATGGTGATTATAAATTATTGTTTCTTGCAGTTCCCCGAGCACAACCGCCTGAGGAGAAGCCCCAGTGACGCTTGTCAGGGGGCTGAAGGCCAGCCCGTGCTTTCTCCTCCCGGCTCCCAGGGAATTCGCTCTGGATGCAGCTCTGCTCCGGGAGCGGACCCGGGCCATCCCCGCCGCTCCGGAGCCGCGGTGCCGCCCGCACGCCGGGGCTGGGCAGCGCTCTGCCCGGTGCCGGCTCCGCAGCGGCGGCAGACCCGCCGGGGCTCGGGGGGGGTCCCGCGGCCGCCGCCCGCCCAGCCCCGGCACGGGCACCCCCAGCAGCCCCGGGGGGTGAGAGCGGGGCTCTGCCGGTGGGGAAGGAGCGGCGGTGTGTCCCTGCGGGGCTGCAGTGCCGCCGCCGCTCGGGGAATGCGAGTCCAATGCGGGCCGGGACCGGCCGCAGCCGGGAAACCGGGCTGCCCAACCGGCGGAGCTGTGCTCACAGGGGTGCTGAGAAAGACTTGTTTACTCAAGCGGTTACTGATTTTTCGTGCCTTTTGTTTGTGGTGCCCAGAGCAGCTGGGGCTTCGCTCTGAAGGATGACTCAATCCTTTGCGCCTGTGCTCGGCGGGGATGCAGGGATGCGGTGGCGTGTTCCACGCCGCACGGCGCAGGGAAATGGTAGCGCCCTCCCGTCAGCTGACAGTCTGCTGATTCCCGTTCCCTCGCCCAAATGTGCCGGAGAGAGCCGCGCTCCTGCTCGGATGCTGAACCGCGCTGCCGGCTCCCTGTTCAAGCTGCTGCAGTCCCGGTGTGCAGCCAGCACAGAGCAGCTGTAGGGGAGCTCACACGGTGTGGTCTGTGGTGTCATTCTGCCATCCCACATCCTTCCCTCCCCTTGAATGCTTCCAGGCTCTGGGTGAGTGCTGGTGCTCCACAGACCCAGCGAGGTTTGCTGTGGCCGATAGACTGCCCTGTGCCTGCAGCAAAGCACACGCTCCAGGTGTGATACAGAAGGTTTGTGACATCTCTGCACAGTAATGGCCAAGGACTGGACCCTCACTTGATGCACAGTGCTGGGGTCCAGCCCATTTGTGACCCTGGAGTCAACGCTTGCCAAGGTGTCCCCCGTCCCTCTCAGGGCAGTGTGCCACATTCAGGGTGTGTGGGTGTTTTCAATGTTGGCCAGTTGTTTCTGGCAGCTGAGAAGGGCTGGGATTTGTGTTAGGGCTCATCTATGAAGACTAAGTTTAGTTCACACAAAGAAAGAAATCATTGAATCAGGAGAAAAGATGAGCAGTGTGGTCTGAAGGTCTGTACATGCACACACAAGAAGCTCACTTGCAATAAGTTATTCAGACTCCTCTGCTTGCAGCCCCAGACCATGCAATGGAGAGCTCCAGGGCCTCCCAACGCTCACCCAGTCATGCCAGCTGCTGAGGGGGCCTCCTCTCAACTTGTGTTCTCTGGAAAATGAGTTCTTCTTGAAACAAGGAGTGGTTACGGGGCCACAGATGCCAGTGTGAAGGGGAGAGTGCAGCCGTTCTTGTTCAGGGCAGCACTGTCTCACGTGGAGCCCCTCTCGCCCATTTGTGACCCTGGAGTCAATGCTTGCCAAGGTGTCCCCTGTCCCTCTCAGGGCAGTGTGCCACATTCAGGGTGTGTGGGTGTTTTCAATGTCTCCCTGTGTGTTCCCCTAACTTGTGTGCTACCCTGAGCAGCAGCGAGCCGCAGACGGGAGCTGGGGGGAGGAGAGAGGGGGAACGTCTGAGTGCATCATGTTTCACAAGGTTTGTACAATTTCCATTGATTTTCCACTGGATCAAAGACAAGCCTGCAAACAGCCAAGGTCAGGCACTCGGGGACAGGGAGCTGCTGTGTAAATGAGGTCACCGCTCCCGGCTGCAGCTCGCCGGGGACAGCAGCAGAGCAGCCTCTGCACCCCGCGTGGTGCAGGAGCGCCGGCAGCCTCCACAGCCACCCCTGGCAGCTCGGGGTCACGCACAGGCTGCTCGTGTTTCCCATCACCAGTGCCAAAGGTAACTGGTTTCACTGGCAGCTTGCTTGAGCAGACACGGCGTGGCAGTGCCTGTGCTGGTGCCTCCAGCCACCGTGATGTCCTGCACTGCAGTTATGCTGCGTCCCTTCCCCACTCCCTGCTTGCTCTGAGACAGGAGTTTCTGCTCGAACAAGTCTGAAGTGAGGCAGAGATGGCAGGAATTCCAATTCAGGAGGCACTGGGGGGTCCCTGCTGCCGCCTCAGCCCCGTCACTGAGCTCCAGAGCCTGCTGGCCAGAGGCGGTCAGCTCCTGGGCTGTTGTGCCCCAGCTGGAGGCATCCCGCTGCCATGAGCCTCAGCGGGAGCGCTGGCAGCCCCTGCCCACGGGGACCCGCGGGGCAGCGGGCGGGGGACACGCACCAGGTGCGGGTTCTGCTGCAGCAGCCTGGCTTTCCCCGGCCCGAGGCTGGGGGGGACGGTGGGCATGCCGGATGGGGAATGTGGGGATGAAGCCTGCGGGATGCGAGATGCCGGATGCGGGCACTGCGGATGGGGCTGCGGGCGGCAGCTCTCCGAGCGGGGCTGGGCTCCGGCGCCGCCGCCGCTGCTGCTCCGTGCCGGCACTGACCTCTAGTGGCACGGGCACCGGCACCGGCACCGGCAGTGGCACCGGCAGTGACACCGGCACCGGCACCGGCACCGCCAACGGCGGACAGCGGTACCGGCAGCAACACCGGCACCGGCAGTGACACCGGCAGTGACACCGGCACCGGCACCGGCAGCGGCACCGGCGGCGGTAAGGATAAGCGGTACTGGCACCAGCCCCGGTACAGGCAGCGCCCGTGAGTCTGTGTGTGTGTGTTCATGTGTGTATGAGTGTGTGTGTATGCATGTGCGTGTGTGTGAGCGTGTGCCACAGTCAGCGGGCAGGGACAGGCCCTGGCAGCGCCTGGGGCTGCTGCTGGCACCCTCCCTCCTTCCTGGGGCTGCCAGAGGAGCTGAGGGCTGGGGCCTCTGCCGGCAGCTCTGGATGTGGCCAAGGGCCTGTGCTGGGCAAGCCCAGGTCCCTCCAGTGGTGACAGATTCCTGGAACTAACAGCTGACTCCCAGTGGGAGCTGCATCCCATGTGCACTGGAGTTAACTGGAATCCTGTGCCCTTCCAGGGTGGCTACGGGAGTGCTTTGAGACCAGAGCTTTCCCCCGCCACCCCCGAGTTAATTATTGGGGGATTTTTTTCATTTAATGTATAAATGAATTTAACTTTGCCTCAGATATTATTTTTCAACCTAATTGAAATGTAGTGTGTGTGTGCCTTCTAATTGCTTTGAAGAACCTAATAAGAAGCTCCTTAAAGTCTAAAGGCTAAAAGCTGGAGGATTTTAATAAATTTAACATTAGCTTAACATTTCCACAGAGATTGGAAAATATCTACTTGTAAGGATATTTGCTTGAGCTAAGCAATGCAACTTGTTCCTCTGTGTTAGTGCATATGTGATATGTGAACAGTCCAATTTTAATTTTTTCTCATTGTCTAAAAACTTTTTTTAAATGAAGGTTGCTTTTATTTTTAAATCGCCCAAAAAAGTAAAAACTGTTATGGTGAAGCAGGGGTGGGTCAGCTCTGGTGCTGCAGGGGTAGGAGGGTGAGTTTTGGCTCTCCCCTGCTCCCTGCAGTGCATTCTGTCGCTGTTCCCTGCCCGTGCCCCCCTGCAGCCGGTGCTGGGGGAGC